ATAACAATATGGAATTAGTTTGCAATTGCTTTCGTCTACAATTTTGTTTCAACTTCTCAGTCCAACCTATTGATCTGGGATTTCTTTTGTTGCCTATAAAACTATTTGCAGGTACCCATGAACCCATCAGGAGTTAAGCTGGACTTGTGGGAGATTTTAACTTAATGCTCTGCATCATACTGCATTTGTAATTGAGAAAGCATTTTTCTACCTTTGGAGATTATCTAAAGACCAGCGGACCCAGAATGCTCTGAGCATTTCTGCTGGCATTATTCAAATTGAATGGCCTATATTTTAAGGAAAATGGAGATAGGATGGGTGATTATTTGAAGGGCTCTTCATAAAAGGGTTTTTCTTAGGCTTAATTATATATTTATTTCTGTTTTACCATTGCTCGCAGGAATTAATTACCTTGAATAACCTCCTCTGCATTAGTGAATAAAGAACTGAGATAAGATGCAGAAGCAAAAGTATGAAAAACAATAATATGAGTGGTTGTGAAAAGAGAAGGAAAAAATGAGAATACAGTGAAAGGGAGAAGAAGGGAGAAGGGACAAAACATCAGAGTTTTAGTTTTAAAACTATTGTCTAGATTGTCTCCCATCTCTCATTAGTTCTCAGCACTATGAATTTTATGATACAGAAATAGCATCTGGCTATCATTTCTCTATCAAGGCTGCCCCTTGGTGGCTAGATGCTGGAACATCTGAGTGGAAGAAGAATGGACTTCTTGCATTCCCAGTTTCAGCTATATCTGTCCCTCTCTGCTGAAAGAAGAGGCAATTTTTTAGGTCTCCAGCTTGGGACTGGATTTACAGTTTGGTGAGGGGGGAATGGAAAAATTATCTCATCGGAAGGCATCCCTTTTTAACACCTCCATACAAAATGGGAGCCAACGTCATAGCATAACTTCTGTGTAAATGATGTTTGGAAAAGCCATTCTCTTGTCTAAAAAGGCCATCAATCACTGCTTCCTTCCTTCATTAGTGTAAACTGAGATCTGAGAAGTGGGAAAGGGAAGCCTTAGCAAAAATCACAACCTTTTTAACTTCGGTCAGTGTGAACTCCCTTCAACAGAAGCTATTGCAGTTTAGAATTCCTGCCCTTACATAGCAACTTTCTGGGCTGTTATGTTATGGACTAGATCTTTGAATTCAGTTGCTCTACACTTTGACATTCTTCTTCTACAAATTCATTAGGCCATCTTCCCCTGGTGAAAAATACAGTCAACCTAAAACTCAAAGTTGTTAGATTAAGTCATCTGGATATCTTTTTTTTCCCATGCTGACATGATGCTGATATTAGGATTGGTTAAACCAGTAACATCACTGCTAGAGCAGAGAAATGTGGGAATTGATGCAGCGCAGAAACTTCTTGTGCGTATGTGGGCCAAGAAGCATTTGCAAGAAACACAAGACTATTTCCCACAGCACTTGAGGAACAGTCAAAAAACCATGTGAATCTGCTGATAAATGCAAAGGCAGGACACATTGGTTTGAAATACCAAGTCATGATTGGATTCAGACATGATCAAGTAATAACCATCTCCTGCTGTAAATATTGCATCATTGGCAGTACACAATCTTCAATGAATGTATCAGTTCTCTTTCGATCAAACTCTATAGTGATGCCCCAAGATCCCTAGAAACATTATGTGAGGGGCGGGGCAGGGGGAGATTGGATACCCTTGATTCAGTGTTGCTCTTGTTTTCACTGTAAAGTTGTTAATAAGGCCCCAAACAGTGACAGACTTGTTATTTCTGCAGTTGGCCAAGTGAACAAATACTCTACGCCTTCTTAACCTCCCAGGTTGGTACAGCTTTCAACAACCTGGGCTCCCTAAGCAGCTGTCTCAGCATCTGAAAATGATTCACTTTTACAAAGGAGAAGAACCTAATAAAAACATCTCTAAGTGCTTCCAGCTAAGCATTTCAGCCATAGGTATCCATTCTATGATGAGTGGAGAAAAATTCCAAAAAGACTAGGACACTCTTAGCTGGCTAAAGGAGACATCTGGAAGCTGTTATCTTTGCACTGGTGTGATAAAGAACCACTGGAAGGATGTCCATATTTCTGCATCTACGATATTCATTTCTTGAGTCTTCAAACAACTGCAGATAAATGACAAGCATGCATTCAAATGTGAAGAACTATTAAAGGTTGGGTCAGCTTCTGTACACTTAGGGACATGTCTCATTGAGACATACAATTTGACCAGGGATGTATAAACTTTACATGCTACTGTATTTCACTCCTTTATACATGTATACACTCCTTGAATGCAGCCTAAGTATGTAGGTCCAGAAATATTTCAGTAAATGAAGCTGTACTGATTTCCAACAATGGTAATTAACTTTGGGGCCTCCAAAAGTAGTTTCCAGCTACTATCACTGCTATCTTGCATGGTAAATAACAAGGGAAAGAGTGGGAAGACACTAATTTACCAATTTGCACAGCTCTTCCCATTTTTCTTTGAAACAAAAGGTCTTACATAAGGTATAGACCATTCAAAACTAACAATTGTTATCTATACCACAAAGCTAAACTCGTTTATCATGGAGAAGCAGCTTTTAAATCCTACTTAAAGAAGCTAAATGTGAAAACATGTATCTTGTGATTAGACCATGACTTTTTTTAATTAGGCATTAACATTGACAATTGACAGTAACCTCAGTGTTCTGAGTGCCAATCTTTATATAACAAGTGTAATTAAATCATCACTATCCATGCACAAAATCAGGAGTTTGGTAATACATAAGTTATTTGCTTTTCTGACTAGCAAAAAGTATTAAAAGGCATCAGCTTTCGCGAGCTGCAGTTCATCAGATTCATTCTGAAAACTTATGCCATTTAATGGCATTTGTTAATCTGAAAACTCCTGATTTTTTGCTTCCATAGATAAATGGGGCTCTTTTCCTACAATATTCATGCACATAGATCAGAAAAGAGTACTCTATGGTTGCAGCAGCAGGGTTTTTTTTTTTTTGGAGGGGGGAGGAGGGGAGAGACATATAATCCCAATGAAACAGCCCACGTAATAGTCAGTATGCTCAGAGGACAGACCATGGCTATCATTAACAGCAGGGTGACATATTTAGAATGATACAATTTTGATTTTTTTTATAGTCCTATCAATTTCCTTTAAAAAGATCATTCCTATTAAACACTCCAATCAGACCTACTCTTTCCACTTCTTCTAATAATCACTCCATGCTGTAACCAAGCTGTTTCAATCGGTTTAGGGGGAGGAAGGGCCCATGCAACCGTACTTTTCCAAAACATAGGATTCCTTTGTACATACCAATTACCTTGTCATCTTTATTCCATAGCTATCCCCACTGAACTGGTGAGTTGGCTATTAAAAGGAATGATTTGCAGGGAGGGCGGGCAAGGGCTGAGTTCTTACGGATTTTCAAGATTGTCTTTGCTAAATTTACACATGTATTATCCAGATGGGAAAATCCCTCAAGTGCAGAGGTTCTACGTAGCCACTCTGAAGACTTCTGCCACACCTCTGCTGCTTTTCCAGGTCTCAGCACACCCAATACTTCTGTTAACTGTAAATGGGCCGTGTTTGAACTTGGCCTCAAGAATGCCTTCATGCAACACTTAATTTAAAAGTTACTCTGGGGACAGAGAGCAAAAGGGCGAGTTATGAAACACGAGCCAAACACTATTTGTTGCCAAAGCCAAGTTCACAAAGACAGCTCAGAATAATGTTTTGCACATTATGATTGGTTAGCTGCTCAGCTGGTTTAAACAAAGGGAATAATATATTCAGCAAAGATCAGTTCTGGGGATTGTTCCACCTGCTTTTAATAGACGCTTGGAATTTGTAGAACCTAGAAAGCAAGGCCTCATGTGGCGTTCCTAACGGGAAGGATCTTGGAGGCCTGCCTTTGCAATGAGAACCACCTGCCAAGTGTGATCCTAGCACTTGCTCTGTCTGACGGCCACACTAGATGAAATTAAGTGAGCTAGGCCTAAAGGCAGGACTACCCTATTGTATACCAGCAGGAAGTACAGTACTGAATCATTCTTTCCATTCATTGGAAACTGAACATTTCATTTTTCAATAGAATCACATTTCCAAGTATTGAATTATAGCAGCAAAATCAGTATTTGTTCAAACTCTACAACACTTTGGATTCAAAGGCAAAAAGGAGCAGCTGCTCCTTTTCCCCCAAGAGTCATGGGAATGTCCAAATTCAAGTGAAGCCCGCACATCATAACACTGGGTCCTAACAAAGAGGATCCAAAAATCAAAAGAGTGCAACGCAATGCAAATGTGTCAGAATAATTTATTGGAAAACAACTATGCAATAGCTTTGACAAAAAGGCAACTCTCCATTAGTACTGCTTTCCCTCTTAAGTTAGTAATTAGTTTGCCTGAATGGCTCTTATGATGAAATAAGTACCATAAAATGTATCTGTGCCCTTCACATTGACTTATCACAGACAGCTTTTATGTCCAAGTTTTTAAAAGAGGCAGTGGGAAGATGGGAGGTTTAGCTCAGAAACATCAAGTGCAGAACAGTTTGCTCTCCTCTGCTCAAAGAAACACCCATCGCTTTTATGCAATAGATCACTGCATGTTAAGCCCCCGCCCTCAAATGGGACACAGAAAGACAAAGAGCCATTCTAAATTACAACACTTTATTGCAGCATCGGCAAAGATCAGATTTCTGAAGCTGGTGAAGATCGGGTGGCATTTCTGACTGTGTGTGTAATATGCAAATGTGAAATGTTACAAGTTGTACAATCTCATTTAAAATTCTACATGCAGAACTCAACAGCGGTAAAAAGAATTTTAAAATAGCTAGGAAAAAAATTTAGTAGCATACAGATGTGTTCTTAAACTGAATGTACTATACTACATGAAAGCAAACAAAAAAAAAAAGAAAAGAAAATATCCCCCACAACTATACTAACAAACAAGATTGTCAGAAACTGACCAAGAAACTTTATTTCAATTTAGAAAAATAAAAATTCTACTTCTGCCAACTATTTTTTTTCCTTTTTTTTTTTTTTAATATGTAGACACAGAGGCTTATCAACCCATGAAAGTCAACAGAACATTCAGCTCCACTTCTTGGCATCTGTCTGTCATGCTGACTGGCACATTTTGGTTTTCAATGATGCTTTAAAGAGCTCCTCTAGATCCTTGTTCTTAGGCTGGTGTCAGGCTGTTCAAAGCAACTTTTGGTCAACGCTCTCTACCTTCCCATCTACCTGTGACCTTCAGTAGATCGTCCCACTTCCTTGTATCTGGCTCCTTTCTTGTTCTTTTCCCCCTCCCCCTCTCTAACACACACACATTATGGAACAGACTGGTTTCCTCTTAGAACATAGTCTTCTAGTAAAATATCTTGTGTTTTGGTAAATAGTTGCTGTTTCGCTTATCCTGTGTGTTGGGGCTTACTAGACAATAATTACCTCTTGCTCTATCACTTCTCTAGTGCAGATCTGGAGCCCCCCAATGAACATTCTCCTGGCACACCATGCTTCATTCAGTGAAAATGCCACTCTTACTAGGTTTGATTTTCCCCATACTTAGCCACCAAAACTGTCTCTGTTCCAGCATAATCCATCTTATTTAAGTTGCTCTTTGTTGTAACTGAACTGCTCACCGGTCAAGTTAACCATCTCATTTATTTACTTCCATTCTCATGAGAAGATTAACCCTCACATGGTTCCGTAACAAGATGCTTTTTGTTTGTTTGACAGGCCATGACTGGAAGCTTCCACTATTTCTGTTTTTAATAGAGGCTGGTGTATCTGCTCTATGGCCCCAGCCTGTCGATTCTGAACTCTCTAGACTGACATGCTCAGATGTGTCCGCTGCTCTCGTTTAATTGCTGGAGGACTCCACTAATCCACAACATTGGAGATACAGGACCTAATGAAATGACGCTTGCTGCTGGATCAACGTCTCCTGGCAAAGAAAAGAACAAAGGAAAAATGTCTGAGTAGTGAAGAACTAAGTTACATTAGTGCTTAGGGTTGTCAGTAAAGGTAGTCCTCGGGTTACGATGGTAATTGGGACTGAAATTTCTGTTGCTAAGTGATGCAGTCATAAAGTACAACGTGCTATCCTGGCAGTCCTGGTTACCATCATTACCCTAGGACCATGTGGTTGCTAAGTGAGGATCTCACTATGGGAAGAGAAGGGAGTCCCAGGCAAGCAGGCCAGTGGGTGAGAGCTGCGGGTGAAAGCTATGGGCAGGCGGGCAGATACTACGGCCAGGAGCTACAGAGCGTGGGTGGGCAAAAAAGCGGCAGGAGTGACTCCCCCCCAGCTTCCCCATTGACTTTGTGGGTATGGGGGAAGTTTGTAGGAAGCCAGCAGGGAAGGTTGCAAAGGCAATCATGTGACCATAGGATGTTGGGACCGTCGTAAGCGCAAGCCAGTTGCCAAGCACCCGAATCGTGATCATGTGACTGCAGGGGTGCTGTAATGGACGCAACTCCAAGGAGTTGTTGAAAGTCCCCCTTGAGCGCCATCATGACTTTGAATGGTTGCTGAACAAGCGGTGGAAACCTGAGAACTACCTGTACTGCAACTGGGCTCTTTAGAAGACCCCTATTGTTTTATTTCCTCCCCAAACAAGTATAAAGTCATCAAACATGAAAATCAACTATAATCAAGATTATACTGCAGTTCAATAAATGTTATTTAATACTGCTCCCAGTTGTAACCGTTAGGGCTAGAAATATGGAAAAATGTAAGGGGTTCAGAGTACAAAGTATCCTATTTCAAGGAGTCAGAAAGAAGGATAATTTTGCTGTTTTAAACTTTTCACCAAAACTAGCAGAAACAAAGCATCCAATATAAATCTGCACCGTTCATGCAGGGCACTCAATACAGTTTATTTTCAACAGAATTTTTAGATACAACAGAAATAGGTAAATGGCATGTTGTTTTGGGGAGGTGTCCAACACGCAGAGACATTTCTATATGCACACCTCTTGTAGTTATCTTAATCTGGCTGATGCTTATGCTTTGATATGGTCAATTGACTAATCAATAAAGTATACTGATACTGATACTGTATCAGTTATCTCAACACAACTGAGATTGCACAAGAGGCAAGCTAAAAGCCCCCCAAGTCATCTCCTAGCTGCTGCTCCCTCCACTGTTACAAGAGGATCACAGAGAAATACCAAAAAGGTTTGGTAACCACAGAATCTCTCAATGCAGAAGCTAGACTAGGCTCTATGGTGGCTGTTCTTTTCAGAAAGACCACCTTTCAGGAATCAACAGCAACTACAAATGCAATTCTAATAAAGCTGGAGGTAACAAAGAAGTAGGTAAGCAGACATTTGCCTGATTTACTGCAGAGAACAGTCGAAGTGAAAATCATAATCATGGGATCTTACGGAAAGTTTTTGTCTCTAAGCAAGTAAATCTTATTTTTAAATGTGAACTGGAACCAACCTGGTAATACCTGGGGGCCTAAAAGTTGATTTTTTAAATAAAAGCATTGATTTCACTTGGCTACTCTACCTGTGCCACTGATTCCTAGAGTAACTGCCTTCATATTCTATACTTGAACCTTCCTGATCCAAAACCCACTTTTCTTTTTGTATTCCGTGACTAATATCAGCTTTGGAGCTGTCTGTTCCCTCTCTCACACCTTATCATATTAAAAAAATAGAAATGGCAATGTAATTGAGAAGCAAGTGTTCTACTTTCTTTCTGCACTGCATTATCCTGTGAGCAGTTAACTTCTTCCACATTTTCTTAGAAGTTCTGTCTTTTTCTTATGAAAGATCCAATGGACAGCAACTTTCCTCCCTCCTTTTCACTCATATTATTTGATACCACCGTTGTTCCCTTAATGAAGGACTACTGATCTCCAATTGCCTAGGACCAGGGAATTCCAGGGCTGTAGACTGACTAGGAAGTCAAGAAAGCATTGTAGAAGAATGCAGTGGCCAAACTACTCCTGTATTGCCGCTAAGAAACCTGCATGGTTGTATCCATGGTCTACCTGGTATCAATCTCGAAAAGAGACTTGGCCTTTTTTTTTTTAGTCATAAGGCAATAGATTCACAAGTATACACTTTTAGGAGAAATTTCTGGACACAACTGACTATATATGCCTTTTATTTTTCCTAAAGAGGACTGGGAAGAAATATGTATGGGTGAAGCAGTATAAATCTCATTAGGTGGCTTAGACAGTTTCTAAGCTCCATCCCACCATCAGCAAGAATACAAATGTAGATTTTAAAAATTATTCCTAGTGTTGGAAATAACAAGAACTGATTTAACCACAATATCCTAAGTTTCCTCTGATCCTAGCAGTTAGAGTTAAAAGAGCCCACAACTGAATTTCACAGATGCCTTGGATGAACCGCTTTTTCATCAAGTACTCATTCAATCTAAGTTCATGTAATTTTGAATAACTTTTCTCCCTCGGGTAAGGCCAATTTCTGGGAAGTGGAGGATGAAATATTGAAATGTTTCTAGTGCCCATTCAAAAGCAGTTGATCAGTTAAGAGATTAGGCAATATGAAGCCTCCTCATCTCCAGTGGTAATTCATCAGCTATAGGTTTTTGGAGGTAATGCTTTTCTTCTCAATAGCTAAGCAAGAGGGACCTCCCCCTTTCTTTTCTTTACTAGTAGGAGAGGGAGAGAAAGTCTGCATAAGGTGTTCTGAAAACTCTGCTCAGGTTTGTATACTGCCTGCCTATCTAGGCATATTTTAACACACTTGATATTTATTTTTATCTTTCTCCTAATAACCTAAAAGCTGGAGTAAGATACATTAGTTCAAAAGGCTTTTCATCCAAAGAACACTAACGTGCCCCTGTGGTTAGATTCTTGTAAATTACAGGAATTAGAGGTAGGCAAGAATATTGTAACAGAGGCCTTCACTATTAGAAGAGAATATATGTAGCTCAGGGATGAACTGTGGAGTCCTTGGGGTTCTCTGAGCTTGGCTGTTTTCTTGCAAATGTTTCGTTAC